TCGGCTGCCGATTTCCGTGGATCCGATTCATTTCGATCGCCGATCCGACTTATCGATTCGATTTTGGGCTCTCCTGCCTTGTGCAAGTGCAATATTCCAGGCCTGGCTAGGGAGTGCAAGCAGCCCGCGACGCAGCAGACCTGGTCTCTCAGCAGGGTTTGCAAAGGTCTGCACCCAGAGAGTTCCGACCTCACTATTGAGGCGGCTCGTTGGCGCTAAACCTCAGCCTTGCAGCTCACGTCAAACAAACCCAAGCGGTGCGGGCGAACACACCGTGTGGTGAGTCTACGGGGATTCGGGGTGGGCGCACGGGTTTAGAACTCACCCAATGGTTTGGGGACCCCAGACATCGAGGATCCCTGAGATCCGACGTCGCGAAAAGATGAAACGTCGTGGGATATCACGGCCTGAGCCCTGAACCGCATCTTCCTGCGGCACACCTCGAAGCGCCCAGTGCGCAGACCGTGAGACGCCCGGGTCTCATGGAACAGGAAGCCGCATGATATGCCTTAAAGATTCTGGAGCTCCTCGCGGATTGGATACTTTTCCATATGCTGGAGTTCCTCGCGGATCTGTCTTGCGTCGGCGCTGGGCCCCCATGCCGGCGCCTCCGGCGCCGCCGCTGGCGCGCTCCGAGCGCCAGGTGGAGGGGGCCCAGCGCCGACCCCACAAGTTCACGCAGACCCCCGACAGCTCACAATCAAGCCGACACAGGGGGAGGAGGAGGAGGAGGAGGAGGAGGAGGAGGAGGAGGAGGAGGAGGAGGAGGAGGAGGAGGAGGAGGAGGAGGAGGAGGAAGAGGAGGAGAGGAGGAGGAGGAGGAGGGAGGAGGAGGGGGAGGAGGGGGAGGAGGAGGAGGAGGAGGAGGAGGATGAGGAGGATGAGGAGGAGGAGGAACAAACACAATAATTACCCTGCGACGTACCCAACCCTTTCTATACATGTGGCGATTCTACTCGGGACCACTCAATGCTGACTGGCATTCTGAAAGACCCGCAGTGCGCAGAAAGAGCACCCAGCAATGCTTTCAGAAGAGCGCAGCAAGAAGTCCCGTGGTGATCCGCGTATGACGTACCTCCGCTGGGCCTCCCAGGAGCCCACGACAGTGGCGACAGTTGCGCAGATCGCAAGCCCCCCAGGGGGCGGCGAGGTACCGAGGTGATCCGCGTGGGACCCACCTCCGCTGGGCATCCCAGGAGCCCACGACAGTGGCGACAGTTGCGCAGATCGCAAGCCCCGCAGGGGGCGGCGAGGTACCGAGGTGATCCGCGTGGGACCCACCTCCGCTGGGCCTCCCAGGAGCCCACGACATTGGCGACAGTTGCGCAGATCGCAAGCCCCGCAGGGGGCGGCGAGGTACCGAGGTGATCCGCGTGAGACCCACCTCCGCTGGGTCTGAGCCCACGAAAGTGGCGACAGTTGCGCAGATCGCGAGCCTCCCAGGGGGCGGCGAGGTACCGAGGTGATCCGCGTGGGACCCACCTCCGCTGGGCCTCCCAGGAGCCCACGAAAGTGGCGACAGTTGCGCAGATCGCAGCCCGACGGCACGAGGGAAGAGGAGAGGGGAACACAGGAAACAGGAGAGAAGGAGGAGGGGAGGAGAGTGGAGGAGAAGGCAGGACGAGCCGACCACACAGCTCTATTCAAAACGAGTACCCAACACAGGAGGGTTGGGAATAATAATCACTTTGGGTTTAGGAGGGGTCTCTGGCTTTCCGGCCGCCCCTGAGTTTTGGGTCAGTGTACCGGCCGTGGCCAGACCAGCCCGTTCGTTCCTCAATCGGTTTTCCTGATGGTGGCACGATGACTGCATGCGTACACGTAAGAGTGACCTTTCGCCAGAGCGACCTTTGGTGCAGGCCCAATGGGGTCCCTCGATCGCTGAGCGCGATACGGTAGTAGCGTCTTGCACGCCTGTGTTTGGCTCCCCCGCGGCCCTCAACAGGCCGCGCACCAAAGGCCGCTCTTACCCAGGGTCACTCTTGCGTGTAGTCGACTGTGCCGCTCGCTGCTCCTCTAGGACAGGCTGATCGGGGCGCCGCTGCACGGGGAGGTCGACTGGGCGCTCTGGCTGTGGGCGCAGGCTCGGAGGGTGCCAGCTACAAGCGCACCTGCTCCGCCCGAAGAGCTTGTATACCACACCCAGAAGTCCTGGGGGGGGTGCGAGAGGGTCCTGGTCGTGGGATCGGTTTGCAGAATTCCCTCTCTGGGGCGCGGCTTCTGTATACTGATCGTGGCCCCCTGTGGGGGAATCTGACTGAGGTGGGGAGGGTGTGGCATACAGAAAAAGCTGCGGACCTGCACCGACCCCCCGGCCAGGCCGATCCTGGGCGCGGTAATCGGCGCAATCTGCCGTCCTGGCCGAGTTTCGGCCGAGCTCGGGCCCGGGACGGGCCTGGCCGGGGTCGGCGTGGTTGCATGGCAGGCACGCGAACTGAGAGACCGGCCGGCCAGCAGGCGCCCCACTGAAACGTAGGATGCCCCGATGGCCCCAGGGACCAGCAGAACATAGGAGGAGGAGGAGGAGGAGGAGGAGGAGGAGGAGGAGGAGGAGGAGGAGGAGGAGAAGGACGGGGAGGAGGAGGAGGAGGAGGAGGAGGAGGAGGAGAGGAGGAGGAGGGAGGAGGGGAGGGGGGGGAGGAGGACTGGGGCACCCTCAGGGACCATGAAAGATCGGCGAAGAATGTGCCCCAATGTCTCTCCTGCCAGTATATTATGCATCTGCTGTGCAATCGGCGTTCTCCTGCAGGCGGTGGTGTCCACTCGCTCGAGCACCCTCGCCCTCGCGGGCGGGCGCGAGCTGGAGTGCATCATTCCGGTCGTGGACTTCGCGAACCACAGCAGCGATCCGTGTGCCCGCGTCGTCGGCTCCGAGGACGGCGCGCAGCTGGTGGCGCTGCGGCACATCCAGCCTGGGCAGGAAGGAAGGGTGGGGAGAAAGCAGGAGGAGGAGGAGGATGATGAGGAGGAGGAGGAGGAGGAGAAGGGGGATGGCACAGCAGAGGAGAATGATGATGGGGTAGAGGAGGAGGAGGAGGAGGAGGACGACGACGACGACGACGAGGAGCAGGTTCACGAGCCTGCGGGAGTATACTGCTAGGGGCGCAATGCCAAGCAGGAGCAGAAACAAATGGAAGAGATGGAGGAGGAGGAGGAGTAGGAGGAGGCAGAGGAAGGGAAGAAGGCGGAGAAGAATGAGAGGATGAGGATGAGGAGGAGGAAGATGGCAGAGGAGAAGCAGCAGCAGCTGCAGCAGGAGGAGGTCTGGAGGTGGAGAAATGAAGACTGAAGGAATGGTGGAGATCCGTAAAGGAAAGGAGCATGAGGAGGAGGACCAGAGTAAACCCACGATGCACCAACCATGCTGCAATACGCCCATCTGTCCCAAGTCCCCTCCCCATAAGCCACTATGAGAATTCCGTTTCATTGCGGGGAGTGCGTTCTCTGAACAATGAGTGCGTAGTCTTGGAAGTTAGGCGAGAATTCCGTTCATAAAGGAGATTACAAGCATGTTGTAATGAAGCTGTGAGGACGGCGACGAGTATGATGACAAAGACAAAGGAGGTGTCCAGCGAGAGCAGCATAGGTAAAAAGAGCTGTCTTCAAATCCTACACATGTTCTCCGTACGATGTGAACAGGGGTCGCCTTTCATCCGTGTAGCTGTTGCACAATCTGCGATTTCTCAGGAAGGGTAAGGGAAAGATAATTATAGCTTGAAAATCATCCGCCCTCCATCCATGTATTTGCTGGAAGCTTGTAAGAAGAGTGCGCGCGGGGCAAAGGCTACACATACATGTTGAAAACGACCTGAGCTCCAGCCGTGCAATTGTTGGAAACTTGTAAGACGAATGTGCGCGGCGCTAGGGTGAGAGCCACATGTTGAAAGTGACCTGTGCTCCATCCGTGTAGCTGGTGCAAATCCCAAGCTCCGCGGTCATCAAGAAGACGGAAATCCCATGCGAAACGCCCAGCCCGCCCTACTGACACGTGTGGTGGTCAGGCGAGGGGGAGCTATCAAGTAGGAAAAGGGTGGAGGAGGCGGGCAGGGACAGGAGGATGAGCAGGAGATCTGCATCTCCTACGGGGACCACTGCGCCGACCAGTTCGCCTTCGCGTTCGGCTTCGTACCCGATGACGCGCCGCTGGACAGCGTCCTCGGACACCCAGCGGCTAAGTTTTTTCCAGACACGGGCCCATAGACTTCTCGACCCCCTGTCCTCGAGCCGGCTTCTTTCATCCACTCGAAGGGCGAAATGAAGCAAGCATTCTTATTCCCCAAACATTGCTTGCATTTAGGGACTCTTACTTCTGGTATAAAGAACTACGCCTGTGTGTTGGTCTGGCGGCTCCGTGCCGGCCGTCGCCGCCCAGTCGCCGCCTCGTCGCCGCCCGTCGCCTGGGCTTGTGTGTCGGTCTGGCGGCTCCGTTCTTGCCGTCGCCGCCCCGTCGCCGCGTCGTCGCCTCCCGTCGTCTGGGCCTGCGGGCTGGTCCAGCGGCTCCGTGCTCGCCGTCGCCGCCTCGTCACCGCCCCGTCGCCGCCTCGCATAGATCGCACTGCAATCACGCATATAATGAACCGCACAGATTGCACCACATAAATTGCACCGCCTATATTGCACCGCATTGATTGCACCACATGAATTGCACAACACCGATCGTGCCACATATATTGCACCACATAGACTGCACAACATAGACCGCACCACATAGATTTGCACCACCTAGCTTGCACCACGTAGATTCTCCTTTTTATAAAAAATAGGTTATACCACCCTCCTCCCCTGGACTTATCGATTCCCCGGGAACCGATGCAAAACAAACATGGTTCTGACCCAATGTCCATCCTACCTGTGAATTCATATGATCCCAGCCAAACCAGTATCGGCCCCCTTCGTTTCCTTTACAAAACAGTGTTGCGCGTACGTTCGTTTATCACAAATCATGAGTTTTCAAGAATCCCTTGCAAAGAATGTGACGAAGTGCACACGCGCGCGTCGTCGCGCGCGAATGCCGAAATCCTTCATCAACCTTCGGTTTCGGAAGGTTTTCAAAATCGAGTTTCTAAAAGCATACCAAAACACAGGGTTTCGCAACACTGATGTTCTAAAAAAGTTTACGCGCGCGCTGTTTCGAAATCTTAAGAAAACCATAGGTTTCCAATATTTTCAAACACAACAAAATGTTACCAAACGGGCATCGCGCGCGCATGTCGACATCGTTCGAACGCCCTTGCGCGCGTGCCGTCGCGGAGGTGGAGGAGGAGGAAGAGGAAGAAGAAGAGGAGGAGGAGAAGGACGAGGAGGAGGAGGAGGAGGAGGAGGAGCAGGAGGACGAGGAGGACGAGGAGGAGGAGGATACGATACGATACGAGACGTTTACGACCCTTGTCATGCCATCCTGATCACATGCACACGACTATGCTAGCAGGCCTGACAATGCACAAGCACGGATTTGCGTGAAACTGAGGTTTCCTTTCGGTCACCTTGCCGAGCGGATAGCTACTGGCCAAGTCTTCGAGCCTCATTCGGGGAAACCTAGAGGCCGAGGCTAGGCACCATCATCCTGGCAATGTTGCATCACACGAGAGACAAGTGGTCTCGCATGAACGGTGTGTACACGTTTAGTATGGGGGGGCTGGGGGCTCAGAGGTGTCAACCTTATTCTGGGCCACAGCGGCGCCCTCGTGTTGACTACCTTCATCCTGGCCCCAGCCTCCCGCTGGAAACACAACTAGCGCCAATACATCTCGCGCGCGGTCAGATGCGGCAGACACAGGTGTGCTGGCATTGCGCATGCGCATACGGGAGACATGTGCAGAGCGAGAGGCGAGATCGAGATGGGAGAGCTCAAACCTCGAAAGGGGCGAGTGCGTAGGAGAAGTGGAACTGCTGGCTTGCATCTGTGACATAGCAGAGAGTGGACTGAAACGTGCGGGACCGAAGTGCAACTAGGCCCTCATGGTTCAGAACCTGATGTGTTGCCATCTGCCGCATTCTGTCCGATCCCGAGATGGTGGGGAGCCATGCTACTTCATCTGGTTCTCTTCTTCTGACTCCTGTGCCTCCTCGTGCGCTGCCTTGTATTTGCCACCCACTGCATGAAACGCCTCGCAGCCTGCCTGATGAACTGTTTCCACTGGCTGACCCTGGAATAAGCTGAGCGCATTGTGCAACTTGGCCGACAACATGATAAGCATAGTGTACTTGGTTTATGTCATACCTTTCTGCTTGTTGTAGTACTTTGGGAGAGTGCGACAGTAGTGCACCAGGTCCTGGAAATTCTGCAGCGAGGTCTTGTCGTGCTGCAGCAGTGCTTGTAGTGATGACATCCATATGTGTATCCAGGGCGTTCCTAGGTCGTGATCCTCCTGGATGAGAAAACAGCTGGTACATGCGCCAGTGAGGTCGACAACGTCTAAGCTGTTGGAGATCGCCAAACACACGTACGCCACCCCCAACTCCTCGAGCTGCTTGTCGCCCTGCTGCTTGAGATCCTTCGCCTTGAGCTGCTGGTCGCCCTGCTGCTGCTGCTGTTGCTGCTGCTGCTGCTGCTGCTGCTGCTGCTGCTTGACCACTGAGCCGCAGGAGGTCACTGCTCTCTTGCATCCCCAGGCTAAGAGCTTGGCATGGAACTGCTGTGACGCCGGTACTGCCTGGCTGTTCACGAAGGTGCTGGTGAGCGTTATTGTGCTTGAGTCCCTTCTGTTTACAAAACCGACAGCTGTGACTCTTACTTTTGTCATTATCCGTCTGCCGAATCGTAAACAATCTCCCTTGGGCACATATTCCCATGCGAGAAGAAACCACCACATTCTTATATGTCGCGTTCCTGGCCTCGAACACCTGTTCATATACAAAACGTTGATTAACGATGATACGCATTCCGGGAATACTCAGTAGCCCGTGATGTTGATGCAGGTGATGCCGTTGCGCTGCACATAGTCTGCGACACCTTCGAATAGAACAGGCTAACTCATCATCCTCCTGCAGTTGCTGATGATGCTGTGGTAGATGCTGCGCTGGGGCCTGATGGTGTAGGCTGGCCACGTATTCGCCTTCCTCGCACCACTGCTTCAGATACTGACGACACTGGGCGCGAAGCTGATGTGAAACCAATCGAGGTTTTTTTTTTTTTTTGAAATCATGAACATCTCAAGGTCCGTGTCCGCCGTGGAAATGTCTTGGAGGTACTCTTTAGTATTAGCGACCGTGCCTATAGAAAATGTCTCACCTGCTTCTCGCACAGCTGAAGAAAAGAAACCCCGCTCAGCATTGGGTGCCTGCTCTTCTCTACAATACTTAATGCCACTGCTCCTGCCCATTCTCCGTGATATTTCCCAACCATCCTGTGGTGTTGGGTCCTCGTTTTGAAGAGACGGTGCCCCGCGTTCTCCTTCCTTCCTCCCTTCCTCCCTTCCTCCCGCTGCCTCCTCCCCCCTCCCATCATCATCATCATCAACACCCATTTCGGCACACCCCTCACACGTTTCGTGGCTCCATAGGGAGCTCCACCGAAGGCCTCAGTGCCCGCGGCCGCATGCGTCCCCCACACCCATTTCGGCACACCCCTCACACGTTTCGTGGCTCCATAGGGAGCTCCACCGAAGGCCCCAGTGCCCGCGGCCGCATGCGTCCCCCACACCCATTTCGGCACACCCCTCACACGTTTCGTGGCTCCATAGGGAGCTCCACCGAAGGCCCCAGTGCCCGCGGCCGCATGCGTCCCCCACACCCATTTCGGCACACCCCTCACACGTTTCGTGGCTCCATAGGGAGCTCCACCGAAGGCCCCAGTGCCCGCGCCCGCATGCGTCACCCACACCCATTTCGGCACACCCCTCACACGTTTCGTGGCTCCATAGGGAGCTCCACCGAAGGCCCCAGTGCCCGCGCCCGCATGCGTCACCCACACCCATTTCGGCACACCCCTCACACGTTTCGTGGCTCCATAGGGAGCTCCACCGAAGGCCCCAGTGCCCGCGCCGCATGCGTCCCCCACACCCATTTCGGCACACCCCTCACACGTTTCGTGGCTCCATAGGGAGCTCCACCGAAGGCCCCAGTGCCCGCGGCCGCATGCGTCCCCCACACCCATTTCGGCACACCCCTCACACGTTTCGTGGCTCCATAGGGAGCTCCACCGAAGGCCCCAGTGCCCGCGGCCGCATGCGTCCCCCACACCCATTTCGGCACACCCCTCACACGTTTCGTGGCTCCATAGGGAGCTCCACCGAAGGCCCCAGTGCCCGCGGCCGCATGCGTCCCCCACACCCATTTCGGCACACCCCTCACACGTTTCGTGGCTCCATAGGGAGCTCCACCGAAGGCCCCAGTGCCCGCGGCCGCATGCGTCCCCCACACCCATTTCGGCACACCCCTCACACGTTTCGTGGCTCCATAGGGAGCTCCACCGAAGGCCCCAGTGCCCGCGGCCGCATGCGTCCCCCACACCTCATTTCGGCACACCCCTCACACGTTTCGTGGCTCCATAGGGAGCTCCACCGAAGGCCCCAGTGCCCGCGGCCGCATGCGTCCCCCACACCCATTTCGGCACACCCCTCACACGTTTCGTGGCTCCATAGGGAGCTCCACCGAAGGCCCCAGTGCCCGCGGCCGCATGCGTCCCCCACACCCATTTCGGCACACCCCTCACACGTTTCGTGGCTCCATAGGGAGCTCCACCGAAGGCCCCAGTGCCCGCGGCCGCATGCGTCCCCCACACCCATTTCGGCACACCCCTCACACGTTTCGTGGCTCCATAGGGAGCTCCACCGAAGGCCTCAGTGCCGCCGCCCGCATGCGTCACCCCCACCCATTTCGGCACACCCCCCGCATTTCTCGCACGGCAGGGTCATCACCACGGTGGCGTGCCAGGGGCGCACCATGCGCGAAGGCGACGGGGCGGGGGAACGGCGCTCCGGGGGCGGCCAGACCTCCGGGGCGCGAGCAGTCCGCGGCCAGACCATCTCTCGGTCCTGTGGACTCTCGCCCTGGGCCGTCGGCTGCCCGGCGCGCTGCTCCCTCGGTCGACGTCGCCCAGGCGTGATCCTGGATTGCGGCCGCCACGAGGTAGGGAACGGCAAGAAGGAGGACGACGACTGGTGGCTGGAGCTCTACGTGCTGCTCTCGCGCGCCACGCGCCACGAGGACCTCCTGCTCATGCGGGCGCCGCGCATCGAGTTCTTCCTGGCAGGGCCGCCGCAGGGCTTGCGGAAGCAGCTGGAGCAGTTTGCGGCGCGCACGAAGCGGTGCAGGAGGGAAGCGACGGCCCTCGCCAGGGAGCTCG